CTTTGACATGATAGCTAAAACAATGAAAAAAGAAGATGTACAAGATGTAAAATTAAAATGTAAACAATTTTTAATAACTATTTGCAAAGAAATTCAGTATAGACTTACATCAAATATTAATATCCTTCAAAAAATCAGAATTTTTATGCCTGAATTTGCTACATCCCAAAAGAAAACTCAAATAAGAGATACAGTATTGCAATTTCCAAGACTTTCTGTAGAGCATTGCCAATCAGAATGGGACTTAATTGCTAATAAAGTGTGGAATAAAACTAACAATCATGAAAAATTTTGGTCAGAAGTATATGATGATAAGGATAGTGTAGGTAAACAACGTTTTAAAAATATCAGCCGATTAGTATTAGGATTACTTTCATTACCAATTTCCAATGCAACCGTAGAAAGAGCATTTTCCACTTACAATATAATAAAATGTAAATTAAGAAATCGACTGTCTATTGATGTGGCAGAAGCTATAATGAGAGTAAGGTATTATTTGAAATGTAAAAACATTACTTGTGTAGATTTCGAACCAACGACATCCATGGTTGAAAAATTTAACTTGTCAATGTACAACGATTGTGATGTTATGAACAATGCAGAAATCGGAGAATTATTCGAAACAATATAATAGGTGTAATGTTTAAATGCATAATAAATTTTATGGAATATATTTTATATATGCGTGTTCAATATTGCAATGAAATGTATGATTTTTAATACACCAAGTTTGTAATACATTGTCGATAATTATGCACAAGACAGTTGTCATCAATTTCAATAAAATTGTGCTCATGTTTCACGTCAAATAGCTTTTTTTTTTTTAAATTTCGTGCAGCCCGACGTATTGGGGGAAAATTTAGGGGATTAGTTGTAGCTGTTAGGGGATTTTGGGGGATTTTATGATATGTTGTAGGGGAAACCTTTCAAAATCACTTGGCAACACTGCTTTCACGCTACCGTATCTCTCTATAGCGTCTCGCACACGCTCGAGCACTACACTACCAGCGTCTTCTAAAAATTGACGCGGCTCTATATGCCCAGAGTTTATCACCGCACCGGTTAGAACACGATTCTCGAACACGGCGTCGATCTCGCGCCATAGAAGTCCATATCCAGCGCCCACGTGCACGAATAATTCGCGCACCGAATCCTTCAAACTCTCGAGTCGCGCGATCACTGATTGTCTATTGCCTATTGATAATCGCGGGCGTTTGATACGACTCTGTTCTTCCAGAGATTCGATGAATTCATCACATCGCTGTTCCCACGCGACGTACTCTTCTCTGGTATCAAGCAAGGTAGCTTGCTCTATCAAATCTCGCTCCATGTTATCATTTGTATTATCGAATGATTAATGACACGATGCGTCTCAATCTCGCATTTCTATACTATTATTTGATCACGTGACATTGATGTAGTGTTTTGCGCATGCGCAAAAACGCCGATGAGATCACCGCTCGAACATGTTGTGTAACATGTTACTGATCTTCCAAGAAAAATATGATCACGTGACATTTCATATCAATTACACTGATGATGTCATCGCTCGCACTTGTTGTGGCATGTCGTATTATACATTGTTTCGCGCATGCGTGAAAACGAGAATCTATCTAACAACACTATAACAATGAGATCACCGCTTGAACATGTCGTAACATGTCGCCGATCTTCCTAGAAAAAAAATTTGATCACGTGACGTTTAGTATCAAATTACATTAATGATTATGATGCCACCACTTGGACATGTTGTAACATGTCCTACTGTGCTGAATATCATTAAAAATTTCTTATATTACTCTAATTAAAATAAATTTTATTTCGTACATCTGCGCTTGTGAGGCTACATTTAAACAATAAAAAAACATAAAAACTAATTTAATGTTTATGGAAATACAGAAAAAATGTACTATAATACTTGTACGTCTTAAATTTTAAAATATACGCATGATGATGATTGACTCAACATTACGTTGTACACGCTTCTCCAACGTTGCGAACGCTATATGCAACAGCGATATCTTTGACAAACGCCAGCTCTTTGATTATGATCATATTATCTTAAGTTTTTAATATATATTAATATATATATAATGTTAATAGATGTGAATGAAGTTTTTTTTTCGTTTACATTATTTTATCTTGTACTTTCTTCCTTTCTTTCTCTCTTTCTTCCTTCCTTTCTTTCCTCCTCCCATTCTCCTATACCTCAACGCGCTATCCGATAAGCCGTCCTATATGTGTTAAACGATATATTTTATACAACTCGAATAAAATAGGTACAAATTAAAGACAAACCTATAAGAAAAAATAGATATGTGTACAACAATTAAAACGTATAAGAAAGTAACGAACTATTAGGATATAATAATCTTCTTACGACTACACTGTAACGATATAAGTGATGTCATAGTCACTTTATCGTGGCGGTACTTTTGATTTAAATTGTTTTATATACAAAATGATGCATGCAGATAACTCCAGAGCCTCATCGTCCTAGCGAAGGATGCTTCTCAGCGTTAGTATTCCTTTATCTGTTCTGTTTGTGCTAACCATGCTCTTACTTGAGCCGACAGAGAAAAAAAAAATATTTTTGGAAAGGGGGGAGGAGGAGGAGAAGGAGAATATTAATCTTCCTACACTGAATTAAATAATATTAATTTTATTCATTTCCACTTCTTGTGACCACAAAAATTATCCAAAGGGCGCGTGGGTTTTGTTATGTCTGGGACACGGCTCACTATCATTTCTCCAAGGGATTTGGCAAAGTTAGATCGTACAAAAATGGGGAATTAATTTATAGTTATTAATTTTGAGGAATACAGGTAGCGCGATTTGAGGTCAAATATGATAACAAATATACGCGCATGTTAATATTTTCTAAATTTATTCAGCAATTGACCAGCAAAAATCAGAAATCATGGAAAGTCGAGATTTTCCTTTGTATCGACATTTCATGATTTGTTGATAAAATTTTTCACCTTGTTCGTCTGATTCTGTAGCAAGTTGCTTTGCAAAGAATTCAAGGTGGTGATGTAAAAAATGGATTTTCAATGACATATGAACGCCGATATTCTATAAAAGCGGTCATCATATCATCTACTAATATACGGTAGTTTTCAACTCGATGTTTCCCGAGAAAATTTGAAATCACGGCCTTCACGCAATTCTATGCAGTGAGTTCGTTTTGATCCAGACATTTATTGAAAGCGTCGTTCATTAGTTTGCTAATATCTGGCCCGTTAAAAACTCCTAAAAGCAATCAAAACACATAAAAACATTAGACTCATATATTAATATGGTAGTTGAATTGCAAAAAATTGTATACCTTCTTTAATTTTGGCAGCACTTAATGCCGGAAATTTCTCGCTTAAGTATTGAAATACCGACGCGCTGTGATTGATTGCCTTTACAAAATTCTTAACGATTCCCAATTTAATATGTAGTGGAGGCATAAAAATTTTCTTCCAGTGGTACGAGTACTGTATGTGCAATATTTTTTATACCAACACGACGTTGTGTACGCTTTGGCCAATCTTTTTTTTTATACTGATTTCCTACATATCTGCTGTCCCACATGCAATCGAAACAGCAATATTTCGTGTAACCAAGCTGCATGCCTGTTAATAGAGCTACTACTTTCAAATCGCACATGACACGCCACAAGTCATCTTTATAGCTAATCTTTTCCAAAATAAATTGCATTGTGTTTTATATGAAAACTAGTAAACTGGCGATACGAAAATAATTGCAAATATTTGAATCAAAAGTAACCTTTATTCTCCTTGCTTACGATACAAAGTACAACAAAGAACTGAACCGCGCATACATTGCAGACACGCGCGCGCTCTCCACTACACTCTCCCTCTATCGATGGCGTCGCTCACTATTATCAACACGCGCGAAGTAACGAGGCAGCTCATTTGAATGATCTTACATATATTGCTAACATAAAATTATAAAAATGAATAAAAGAATAAGAAAAGCGCTAACACGCCGCCCACCAAGATTAATGTATTAATCTTTTTCATTTATAGAATCGTTCATGGGTAACTTGCAAAGTTTTGTAATAGCTCTCTTTGTGACTCCAGTGGCCGTGCGCACTGTTACGACGCGTACTAAGTCGTCTTTGCCAGGATGAACCTCTGTAACACGACCGAGTCTCCATTTTAATGGCGGTAAATTGTCCTCTTTTAATAACACGAGGTCGTTGATTCCGAGATTTTCTTGACGAGTTTTCCATTTAACGCGACTCTGTAGATTAGCCATGTACTCGACCGCCCACCGTTTCCAGAAATCCTGGACTGAACGCTGAACCAACTCCCATCTATCAAGGCGATTCATTTTGATATCGGATAAATCGTTGTCCGGGAGGCTAGTAGGAGATCCTCCCATAAGGAAATGTCCTGGTGTCAAAGGTTGTAAATCAGAGGAATCGGATGATAAAGGCGACAGCGGCCTTGAATTTAAACATGCTTCGATCTGCACTAGAAATGATGTAAGCTCCTCAAATGTAAATAAAGTGTTGCCCATAACTCGACGAAGATGATACTTGCAAGATTTGACTCCTGCTTCCCACAGGCCTCCTAAGTGCGGAGAATAGGGAGGTATAAAGCACCACTCTATGCCTCTTTCCTGTAAGGCGTCTCCAACATCTCCATCAATGGAAGTGCGAATGAAGGTGTAGAGCTCTTTCAATTCGCCTTTAGCACCCACAAAATTAGTGACATTATCGCTGCAAATCTTGCGTGGTAATTCACGCCGGCCAATGAAACGGCGTAACGCTGCCAAAAAGGCTGATGTAGACAGCTCACTTGTAGCTTCGAGATGAATAGCTCAAGTAGCAAAACAAACAAATAGCGCTATGTAAGACTTACATGTCTTTCTACCTCGTCCTTTGTTGACGAGAGAGGTAATTGGACCTGCAAAATTGACGCCAGTAATAGTAAATGGTCTGGACGGTTGAACTCTGTCGCGCGATAGGGACCCCATTGCTTGTGTCAATCCCCTAGGATTGTTTCTAGTACACCAGACGCAGGATCGGCAGACTTGGCGTACTCTTTGCCTTCAATGGCCAATAATAATTGCTGACTGGCATACAATAAGGCGCGATGTTTCCTCTCGATTAGCAGACGTGTGATTCTAGACTGCCTAGGTAGTAAAATAGGATGTTTCCTTTCAAAATTCCAGGAGGTGGCTTGTAACCGACCGCCCACCCTGATCATACCATCCTTGTCCAGAAAAGGGCGTAACTGCAGTATTGGGCTCGTTTGTGTCAATTCTCGATTATTTTGCAGACGTTTTAGATCTTCTGCGAAGTGAACGCGTTGCGAATACTTGATTATCTCACGCCTCGAAGATTCTAGCTCCGCTAGGGTTAATTTAGACAGAACTCTTTCATCCTGTTTTTTGCGACAATTGGAGATAAATCTAATACAGTAAGCAAATGTTTGTTCTATCTTTGTCAATGTTGAGCAGTTGCTAATGAGACTATGAATAATTTCATCAGTCCGTGATGATGGAGAAACGATGAGATGACAAGTGGCTATAAGCCTTTTAGCTACATGTCCTGCATTACGAACGTCGTCTTCGGCAAATTCCAGATTAGAATCTTCCAAACTTGTAAATGAGCGATAATTTCTTAACCAGCTAGGGCTATTCCACCATAAGGAATTATCCATCAACTGAATTGGCGTGGCTCCTCTTGAAATCAAGTCGGCCGGATTCTTTGAACCCCTTACATGATTCCAGTAAACCGCCGGTAATATTTCAACGATTTCCGCCACACGATTAGAAACAAAGGGTTTCCAACGTGCTATATCTCCGCGAAGCCAATACAGCACGACCATGGAATCAGACCACGCTCGTATTTCATTGATCTCCATGTGGATGGCGCGTTTTACATTGTCTATTAACTTAGCTAGTAATAGCGCGCTACATAATTTCAACCTAGGTATAGATTGCTTCTTTAAAGGAGCTACTCTAGCCTTTGCGCATAATAATTTGATTGTCGTTTCCTGGCCAGACGGACTCACCGATTGTATGTACACGCATGTACCGTATGCGTGCTCGAATGCATCGCAAAATCCAAACATAGAATATACACAATCGTCGGATACGCCGATAACCAATCAAGGAACACACAGTTTGTGAGCATTCTTTAATGAATCTCGAAATTCCTTCCACTTATCTAATATCACGTCGGGCAATGGATCGTCCCAGCCCACTTTAGTTTCCCAAAGACTTTCCATTAGAATTTTGGCTACCGTTAAAATGGGACCTATCAAGCCCAAAGGATCGAACAGCTTAGTAACTGCTGACAGCATTTCTCGTTTCGTAGAAGCATGACATATCGCTTGAATTGTAAACTGAAACCTATCTAAACTTGGATTCTATTCAAGCCTTAGCGCTCGAATAGTATCATTTGCATCAATTTCGAAACTTGAATTGGGTTCGAACGGGACTCCCTTTAGTGAGCTAACGGAATTTGAGCACCATTTGTGCGCCTTAAAACCTCCTTCTCGAAGTAATGAAGTTAATTGCTCTTGCAACACCTGTGCGCTTTCAGGCGTGCTGGAACCAGAGATTATATCATCTACATAGGTATTATGCAATAGTGTATGTGATGCAAGAGGGTAACGCTCCTTGCCCTCTACATCTAATTGTCTCAAGCATCGGACTGCCATATAGGATGCGCATGCTTGGCCGTACGTAACGGTATTCAGCCGATACTCCTTTATAGAATCCTCCAGTGAAAACCTCCATAAAATGCGTTGAACATCACGATCGCTCTCATGAACCAACACTTGGCGATACATCTTTTGTAAGTCCGCGGTCAACGCGATTTTGTATGTTCTAAATCGTATGACTATATCGATTAAGTTATCTTGCAAAACTAGTCCGATTAAGAGAGCATCATTCAAGGACACGCCCTTATTATCCTTAGCAGATGCGTCAAATACAACGCGTAACTTGGTACTGCTACTAGATTCCTTTAGCACTCCATGATGCGGCAAATAGATCGCTCCCTTGTATTCGCCAAGAGTAGGTTTCACAATTGACATATGGCCTAAATCAATGTACTTTCGCATAAATTCAACATAACGTTCTCGCATAACGTTGTCGCGCTTAAGCCTATTCTCTAAATGTGTCAAACGCTTTAAAGCTATTTCTCGATTGTCGCCAATAGGTAAATCTGCATCGCGAAAAGGTAGTTTTACCACGAATCTACCACTACTTGTTCGAGTAACTGTCTGCTCAAAATATTGTTCGCATTTTTTATCATTCGTAGATAACGCTCGCGACGTGTCACTGTCATAATTTTTCAATTTCCAGAATTTTTCTAGACGTTCATTCAACGTATGACTACATTCCACCAAGCAAGTTAATGTACTTATCGCTCTTCCTTCATCAATTGAAACTTTACAGGCTGTCATGGGCACGGTACCTGCTATTATCCATCCAAGCCTTGTATTTTGTCAGACTAACTCGTCTTTTCCAAGATCAATTTTCCCGGCCTCTAGTAAGTCAAAGAAAAATTCAGCCCCTAACAACAAATCTATTGGACCATTCTTGCAAAACTCTAAATCAGCTAATGCGATATTACCTGGTATTTGTAATTTGTCACGATCTATTTTTACAGATGGTAAATTCTTAGTAATTTTTGGTACGATTAAACATTGAACGTTAGCTTCGAAATCGGAACACTTTGACAGCACGTGAACCTCGCAAATATTATAAATCTTGTTCTCAACTTCGTTTACAACCGATTACAACCTCGAATGCCTTATTTCTTTTCAAACCTAGCTTGTTATATGCCGCTTGAGTAAGAAAGTTTGCTTCGCTTGCACTGTCGAGAAGCACACGGATCGAAATTCGCGAGCCATCGCGTCGTGTCGCCTCCATTATTGCAGTGGCCATAAGAATTCGGCGCCTTTTTACCTTGTGTAGTGATTGATTGAGTGCCACGTTAGTAACCAATTGATTAACATCGTCCTGAGATCCTGCCTTTGCAAGGTTATTATCAACCCGTGGTAGATGACATAGCGTATTATGTTTCTTAGTGCACTCTTTGCAGTGACCCATTTTACATGACCTTACAAAATGATCGTTCTTGAGGCAGTTAATGCACAATTTTAAACGCTTGACTTCCTTTAATCGGTCGTCCACTGTTAAAGCTAAAAATTTCTCACAAGTATATAAAAAATGTGGTCCGTCACATAAATAACACTTACCATAATTCAATGAGGCGGTTAAGGAACTCGTTTTTTGATTTGCAATACTCTTACTTACGGACTGCGACTTAGAGTGTGTCTGACTACCCTTTATATGCTGTTCCTGGCTCTTTAGAGGTTTTTCTGTCTTGGTTACAGCTCTCGATTCAATACGTTCTAAAATGAGGCTCCTATTTTTCAGAAACTCTAACATGTCATTTAAATTCACTGTCTCACTAGATTTTGTTTCCTCCTCCCATGCTCGAAGAGTTTTTGTATCGAACTTGTCTTCCATCATGTGCATGACGAGATCATCCCAAGATTCAGTGGGTAAACCTAAAATTCTTAACATTCGAAGGTGCCTGGAAGTATAATCAATTAACTCGCGAAGAGCCTTTGCAGACTCCTTAGCTATAACGGGCATTTTAAATAAACATTCAATATGTTTTTTCTTAAGTGATCTAGGGTCGTCATATCGATTTTGCAATAATTCCCAAGCCGTAGAATAATTCTGACCGGTTAGCTCTATAGACTCGATAATCTTAGCGGCATCCCCAGAAATGGCCGAAACTAAATATTGAAATTTTTCAACGTTAGACAATTGCGCCCTATCGTGAATGATAGAACGAAAACTATCCGAAAAAACTTTCCACTCTTCAATTTTGCCATCAAATCTCGGAAGTTTGATGGTAGGCAATTTTACCCTACTATCCATACTAGTAACTCCTGCGACGTTCGCTACCCGATCAAGTATATCGGTCTGACGCGCAAGAATGGCTGCCAACGATTCGTTATCACTACGCGGCATCGCGGTGGTCGCACCTTCGCCATGAACATCGAACCGCATTTGTTGCATAATCTCGGTTTGCTGTTGCAATAGTCGCGTAACCTCGTCCGCACCTGACGGCGCGGGATCTACTACTGATTTTTGCCTTATAAATTTTCTCAATATAGACTTTACCTCGAAATACCTTTCCTCGAAGCATTCCTCTTCAAATGCGTCCTCGTCAGAGAGCTCACCTGATTTCTCGAGTAATTGCTTCTGTATGGATTCGAACTCCTTGTATACTTCTTCTAGTTTTTCTAGCCTTGCTTCTGCTTGCTCTTTGTCTAGCTCAATACTCGTTTCGTCGCTAGTTTGCGTCACTCGCGTTCGCAATCTCGTAAGTTTTGCCTTGATATAACCTCGCATTCGACGAAGTTCGCTAATTTCCGACATCTTTGATGCTATGTCTTCCCTTTTCTTTGTCTCGAAACTCGTTGATATTTCGGCACGTTAGCCGCACACGTATAGTTCGCACAATATTTTATAGTATTCGGATCACGGATCCGGCTCGAAGGACCAAATGTTTTATATGAAAACTAGTAAACTGGCGATACGAAAATAATTGCAAATATTTGAATCAAAAGTAACCTTTATTCTCCTTGCTTACGATACAAAGTACAACAAAGAACTGAACCGCGCATACATTGCAGACACGCGCGCGCTCTCCACTACACTCTCCCTCTATCAATGGCGTCGCTTACTATTATCAACACGCGCGAAGTAACGAGGCGGCTCATTTGAATGATCTTACATATATTGCTAACATGAAATTATAAAAATGAATAAAAGAATAAGAAAAGCGCTAACACATTGTCTCATATGTTTCCTTCATTTCGATTGTATATAACAGAGGAACAGGATGTTTGCTATTGTCAAAATACAATAGAATAGCTTTGAGGCTGTGTTTCGACGAGTCAATGAACGGACGCCACTGGTCTACATTATATGTGCCATTCAATGTCTTGACTAGCCCTTCGATATTGTTACAGTACACATATTTTCCATCTTCAGTCAAAGTAAAATATTCCAAAAATTCTTCTTGATGCTTTCGATAGCGTTTCACTTTAATGGCAGGCGCGATGGCATGGTCTTTTTTCAGTTCTGAAATGAGTATTTCCGATTGTCGCTGAGATAAATGTAATTTTCTCACAATTGTATCTAAACATTGTTGTTCAATGAATGACGGCAACGTTGACTTATCGTTTAGTATGTACGTTACATCGGATCCACTAGTGCCACTAGTACCAGCGGTTAAATTTGTCGAAATGATTGCAGTGCTTTTGCTTGGGCTCGGACACGTCGTAACTAGATACTGGTCGGAATGCGCGATTGGCCGTGTGGCACTTCAGACATTTTTGTACACAAATGCTTTCCTTTTTTTTCTGTTCAAACGCACTTTGTATATGTCATTAGCACAAGCATAACAATCTTCTTCAGTATGCTTCTCTATTTCTGACTACAACATTGGTACAGCAAAGGGTAAAGAAGTGCGTTTTCTATCCCACCATACTTTTAAAGCAACCAAGCACGTTTTACAAGTAAATTTTGGTGCCCACGGCACATTTCTATACACGCTGACACCAAAATAAAATTTGTATGCTTCCTCAATAGTTTTAGTCATAATCCTTTTATGCTCTGGTACAGTAAATGTACCGCACACGTAACAAAACGAATCGATTTTTCGTTTTTCGACACAATTCAACATTTTTACGTTTATCTAACGAGTTATAAAGTGATACTGGTGCGTGCGAAAGTTTTGATACCTGATATGAAATGAACACATATATTTACTATTTAATGCTATCTTATGTATTTGCAAAACAAAGTTCGCGCTCGCGCGCATAAGTGTGAGTGTGAGTATGTATATGTATGTGCGTGTACGTATTTGTGATAATATTTGATCTCAAAATCTTGAGAATAGCGCAACTGGTACTCCTCGAAATTAATAACTTCAAAGGGTACAGCCGGGTAAGTATGCAAAAGTTGCCCCCGCACGTATTCAGCTTATATTAACAATTTTAATTGCTATCCACATGAACATAAAATCCTGTAAATATCAGACCTCAACACGTCTTTTTTTGGGAGTTATGGAGGGGGAAAGAAAAATAAAAAAACGCGTTTTTCTCGAAAACTACTGGACCGATTTTAATGAGCTTGAAATATGTTATAAATATCAATGAGACAATTTGAAAATAAAAATTCGAAATTTTTTTTTCCCATAAAAATTTCAAAAAAATAAGTTTTCAAATCTTCAAAATTTTTTTTTTTGGTTTTGTTTATGGGCGACACCCGCCATTTTTTTACTATTTACTCTCTGAAGTGTATATTTTGAGAAAAAAATTTTTGCCAATTTTTTTTTGAGGTGCGTGATAGTGAAAAAATATAAAAACCTTAACTGGGTATAATATGACGCCTTAATTAAAAACATTCGGTCGCAAGCGTTTGAAAAATGTTATTCGGGGCATTTTTAGATTGTTCATTATAAATCTAAAGTAGAATTTCGAAAATTAAAAATGGCGTATCCAACATGGCGGAAAATTTTAGATGTACTATATTTAAAAATACATATAATAAATCGTCTGCAGTTAGAGGATTTTATGTTCATGTGGATAGCAATCAAAATTGTTAATATAAGCTGAATACGTGCGGGGGCAACTTTTGCATACTTACCCGGCTATACCCTTTATGCTCCATTCTTCTACGATCTAACTTTACCAAATCTCTTGAGAAAATGATAGTGGGCCGTGTTCCCGACACAACCAAACCCACGCGCCCTTTGGAAAATTTTAAAAGTTGATTTCGGTCACACAGTATTACGTGTGAATTTATATACTACGTATGTAGATTTTTAATTGCGCGCCGAATCTTTAGTCTCGGTAGACTTAGAACGTTCGCACGGAATGCAAGAAATCCGGATTCGACATCCGGCCAAAGTAATATTTTTCGCAATAAAAAATTAATTATTTGCAAAGGGCATAGGGGGGTAAGTATATAAAAGATGCCCCCGCATGAAAACGGTTCAAATTAATACCACATATTGCCACCTATATAAGTATAAAATTCTGTAAGTATGAATTGAAAATTCGCTTTTTGGGGGGAGTTATGGAGGGGGTAAGGAAAATAAAAAAAAACCATTTTTCTCGAAAACTAATGAACCGATTTTAATAAAATTGAAATATGTTTTAAATGTGAGGCGATGTAGAAAAAAAAATTTCAAATTTTTTTTCAAGAAGACTTAGAAAAAAATCAATTTTTAAAGTTACAATATTTGTAGGACAGTTGGAACTTCAAACAATAATTGAATAAAGGCCGAATGACGGTCAAGCAAGATTTAGGTTGCTACAGTAATGTGTGAATTTTATTTACTACGTATGTAGTCTTCTTTAATCGCGTCTAA